CGGGTTCGTGGCCCCTATCAGGTTGGAACATCTGCGATGCAGCCTTGTGAAGTGCATCCCCCAAGCTAACAGTGCCAGGGAATCCCTGGAAGCACTGAGCCGGAACAGCAGAAGCCAACATGGCATGGAGAGATCCTTTTTCTCGGGAATAACAATGACCCTGTAGGATCCTGTAGGCCAGTTGTGATGGCCAGGTCGAACTTGCAGATCTCTCGGAAAGACCAGGCATGTTTTTCGGAGTGTCGTCACATGTGACCGTTCAGGGACCCTGTTGCGTCTTTATAGAGTGCGAGGGATGTCCGAGTCTTTCGAAGAGTTCAGACGCGGCACAGGCGATTGTCATCAACGGAGAGTCAGAATCCCATGCTGCAGTTGCCGAGAATGCTCTTGCCTAGAGTCCAGCTCGCGAGGTCAGGAGCGGGTAAAACGGAGTCTGCCAAGCTTGTCATGTCCTACGTGGCCGAGGCGGTGGAAGCTACAGTGGCATAGCGGCACAGCAGATAGCCATGATAGCCACTGCAGCGCAGCAACCAGACCTCGGGAAGGCTATGAAGTCTGCCGAGACCCAGGAGCCCAGTGCTTACAGTCCTAAAGGCTGTCCTCCTTCCCCCTTCACTGAGCTTCTCGGCTTCGGTTTCGCGTCCAAGGCAACAGTCCCAAGGCTTCGAGGAGAAGGCTCCGGCCTAGGGCGGCTGTTCTTCCCAGCCGTAGACCGGATGGGAAGGTTCTTCGTACCAATCCCGTGATGGAAGCCTTCGGGAATGCTGCGGCCCTGGGCAATTCTCAGGTATGCTCTCCAGGCTTCCAGTCGAGTTGGGCTTGGATTTGAGCGGGCTCCGGGCTGGCCAATCAAAATGGGATCGTGCAAAAACCGCGCTCGGCCAGCCTATGAAGCTGCTTCAAAACTTGGGAATCTGAGTTCTTACCTTTCTTGTCAGCTCTGCCCTGGCCGTGAATTCAGCGACGCGCGCGCTGAGGCGATGACGGTGCGGAACAACAACTCGTCCAGGCTGCAGATAGCTGCAGATTAAACCAACAAAGCCATCATCCTATCTTGAGAAGTCTGCCACAGCTTTGAATGAAGGTTTGTAAAATGGCTCAACTTCCAGCTAGAGGGCGACAGGCTCATCGGGCTGGAAACTCAAAGCTACGCCCGGTGAACTTTGCACAGCCTGTGCAAAGTGTGCTTCAAGGTGTCAGATACAGCAGTACCTCCTGGAGGTAGAACGCTTTCTGACTTTCTCTGCTTATGTCTGCAACGGATCGTTCGATAATGCCAACTAGCCCCGTCTTTCTGTCTGTCAGATTGCAGGGAACACGGGTGTGCAGCGTCGGAAAGGGAGAAAGAACCTACCACGTGTTTTTCCAGATGCTACAGGCTGGGCATGGATTTGAAATGGGTGGATGGATGTAGATGGCAAGCATAATGTGCTGGCCCTGCTTTCCACGGAGGCCCGTCGCTCGCCTGCTCCTCATTCCGAAGCCGCTGTAATGACGGACAGGGCGCACGCACGCTCGCAGAGAGAGGGCCGCTGATCTCTTCACGGCCTGTGAGAGAGAGGGAGAGACAGAGAGACACACACAGAAACGCATAGACACACTCACGCAGTCTTTCTCCCGCATGCATCCGCACGCGCTTGGATTCGTTGGATTGTTTGCGCAACAGAATTCGTCTGTCCCAGGCCCTTGCTGGAGAAGTTAGAGCTGGATGACCCCAATGGTAAGAGACTGAGATCGAGACCGAGTCTCAACGTGGATGTCGCGAGTGCGGTGTGGCACAGGCTATCGTTACACCAAAGCCGGAGAATTCGCAACGACCCCAGCGGAAATGCACAGAAATGCACGCCGCAATGCACGCTGCAACGCACGCCGCAGTAGAGACGCCGCCGGCGAGGCCGTGCCTGGCATGGACGACCTCCTCGGCTTCGAGGAGCTTCGTGAGGCCGCGCAGCCCGTGATAGCCCGCGCCTGCTGCGTTGTGTCACAGATCGTCACCTCGGCCTGTGCCTGTAGGCTTTTGCTCCGCTGGGGATTGACGACGCGATGCAGGCATCAGACGGCGTAAGTGTATTCTGTGCAATGCTGTGTGTAGTGAGACTAGTGCGATTAGGAGCGGAACCGCCTGTCGCCGTGCAGAGTCCGTGCAGTCTCAGCATGTCGCAGGCCGAGCTCTTCCGAGTTCTCGCAGCGGCTTTGCGCTTACTCCGCAAGTGTCCGGTCCCCGGGACGCAGCGACGCGAGCTTGCGACAGGTGCTGAACTTGGGTAACTGTGCCGGCCTCATGCGAGAGAGGAGTCTGGGAGTCTTGGGTTTGTGAGTGCCCTCCGCCTGCGGCCGAGGCACCTTTAAGTCAGAGTCCGAAGACAGGCACCTGGGTGCCTGAAGACTTGGAGCGGTGTCCGACCGTGCCATCCAAGTGGGTATGCTGTCGTCGAACGTAGGAGCGGTTGCTTTCTCGCATAAACAGAAACATGACTGACCGTCTTCATACTGGCTTTACTCCAGTTCTCTTTGTCAAAAGCAGCAAGGGTGGGTGGCCATATGTGAAGGAAACCACTGATTTCCCCGCGGTCCCGATTGTTGAGACATTTGTTTCGCGACGTGCTGCTTTATTGCTTGACAGTGCGGGATGCACCAGCTTGTCTTACTCGTAGAGCATAAGAAGATGACTCGTGAAGATCAGCAAACGAAATGGCCTGACCAAGAAAGCATCAAGCCTAAGCTCTCAAAAAGGGATTCGAGGCGCGAGTCAGGGAGATTGCAACGAGAGAATTTGACAAGAATTGAGAGATACAGCAGTGCTCGGGTGGCAGCAACAAGCCTCGTCTAACCAGTGTAACTCCTTGTCTGTCCACACCTGTCGACGGTTACATGCGCAGACGTTCAGCATCAATCATCAGACGCAGTCCTACGGCGTCTGCCCAAATTGACAAGTCCAAAGGGTCGAAATGGAACCCAGGCTCCTTCGCTGATCCGCCGTTACTTGCGGTTTGAAGCATGTCAAGCAAATGATGTGGACACCGGGCTTGCGACACGGGTAAAGTGCGGATGCGTTTGGAAACCAGGAGCGCGCTTCACAGAGAGCAGGTCCAGGCAAACAAGAACACTGCCGTTGGAGATTCCGGTATTGTCTACCTTCTATTTTGGTTTGGTGATTTTCAGTCACAACCCTCACTCACAAACCAAGTTCATGGATGCAGCAAGCATGCAAACCTGTACGAAGCTCTCCTTCACCAGGCTTGGATTTCTCGATGAAGTACCCGTCCAACGTGCTGCCAAGCTGTTGAGTTTGCCGGTGGAGGCGCCGTGTGTGTGTGTGACGTTCGGAAAGGGCAGATGTGCCGGCTGAAGCCTCAGGATCTGAAGAAGTGCATGCTCGTGCGCAAGATTACAGTAGGCCTGCCGTGCACTTGGCAGCGTTGGGCAGCAGAGAGAAGTGATGCTGACAGGGCGTGACGTCATGGAGTCTCCACAGCGCCAAGAGCAGGACTGCTTGTCGGGTACAGGGAGTGAGATTCAATTTCAATTCAAGTTCCGCAGCCAGCTTGAATCATCGAGCTTGCATTGGTACTGTTCGTCAAGCAGGGCCGCAAGAAAGACAAGCAACCTGTGGTGGTGCTGCGCACAACTGTTTTCGTCGGAACATGCATCGATGCCAATCGGGAACAACCTCCGTGCATGCATCCATGGTTTCAGTCCTCCCTACTAGTGTCGCAACGATCGGTGCATGCCTCCCTGCTACAATCAACCGAGATCAGATTCGTGTAGACTGCAGATGAACGCCCGAGCAGGCGATCGCCAGCCGGGACAGTTTGAGCAACCCGACGCTTGTAGATTTAGTCGCAGTTTCCGAGCTGCTCGATTATGAGCAGCCAAGGCAAATGTCTCTACATGCAGCTCTTCGCTTGGGCTGTGGATACCATCAACCGCACGCTGTATGTCAGCGGCCGAGAACACCGCAGAATCAGACCCATGCCTTCGTCCTTTGCTTTCGTCTTTGCTGCCCAGCCAGAGATCTGGCAAGGTCAGCGATTCGCCGAGGACTTCCGTCCGTATGTTTGCCGTGTAGTTGTGACATTTGTGGAATCCGTGCGTGTGCCTCTTGTGAAGGGCACATGACAAGCAGAGGCAGTACCTGGGTATACTCGACATTGCCCAGTCCTGAGTCTTAGTGGCAGGTCTAACAGTCATGTGCTATGTAGCCGCTCCTCGTCAAGTAAATTTCAAAAGCACTTTATTTGAGCCTCTCGCCACAGCGCACCTCCTCAATCGACTTTTCCCAGCCTCTTCTTAGGATCAAGAACACCAAAGGCATTTTGTCGTAGGTGCCTCGCCATGTCTGCTGACAGTCCGATGTCATGGGACGTCCCGACGCAACTGGAGCCACCGGAGCCTGATTTCGCAGCCACTCAGCTGGACCCGCCGAGCCCGACGGCGCTGTCGCCGAGGCCTTCTCAGGCGACCACGGTGCCAGGTTTGCCGGCGATGGGAGCAGTGGTGTTACAGACACCGCGCCGCATCAAGCGCAAACGAGCGCCCAGTGAAACGACCTCGCAGGCACTGGAGACTCCGCCGCGGCCCTCACCGAGCTCTGTGGAGCTGCGTCGCTTCTTCACAGCCTTGCAGGAGCCAGAAAGGAAGAGTGGCACACAGGAATTAGGACCCCTACCTACTAGACGGCCCGAGCGGCTCCACGCCAGAGCCGCAGATCTTTCAGGACTCGCCACTGTTGGAGCGACTGGATCTGGAGGTTCCAGTAGAGGATCGGCAGCAGACAATAGGCCGTCCGCTGTCAGGCTTCCCGCAGACGGTCGCACACACTCTGGCGGCGACCCACCTTCTAGGACTCCTACAGGCTGCCACGACACTGATCGATCAAGCCAGTGTGGTGCCGGTGGTCACCGGGAGAAAGCGAGAGTTTGACAGACGAGGCGGACGTCTGCAGGTGTGGAACTTCCTGCACGATCTGGATGCACCAGTCAGCTTCCACTCGCAGGACCTGAGCTTTCAGGCCCCCCCGAGATGACGCTCCAAGCATTTTTGTCTGTTAGGCTGTGTCACTGCACCCTGTCGCTGATCCCTGACGCTGAGGCCCGCTGCGTGCGTGCATGAGGCGCTGCGTGACGAGACCACGTTCTCTTCTTGGCTGGAACCTTGGCACCTGGTGCCGCTCTTGGAGGACGGCAAGGTCCTGCTCTGTCTACGACCCCTGCCGGAGCAGGAGGACGACGCAGCACTGGAATACAACCCACACTCATGTGGAGTCTTAACTACCTCTTCCGTGTGACTCCCGAGTCATGGATCTCCACTCGGTATGCCTGCGTACAGAGTCAGCTGGCGCATGCACCGTACACTCACAATTGCAGCCGTTTTCATTGCAGAAATTGCTGCAGGAGTCGCAAAGAGGCGTGCAGTCTGTGTGTTTGGAGAAGTGCGACACCGGAAAGAAGCGGCGGGCCAGCATTCCCTGGGGCCGCCTGCGCACACACCTCTCTAGCTTGCTGTGTGTGCACCGCTGCGAAGGCTTGTGCAAGCGCTTGGATGATGCGATGGAGCGGATACTCCAGTGTCTCGAGGACCCGAACCATCCCGAACCCCACGCTCATGGGCCTTGTTCACATCCTGCGGTATGACCGCTACGTGAAGCTCGGGAGAATGCCTATCAGCAGGACCAAGTATGTGCCCAAGCCGCAGCTGCCGGCGAGGCTCGAAGGGGCACTGCGCGCCCATCGTGTTTGTGCGCAACACCCAAGCCAAAGCTGCGCTGCTCGAGACTTTCTGTCACATGCACATGACTTGCTGGCACCTGCTGTTGAAGAAGGAGGGCGGCGTCGTCCAGCAGGAAGGCCGCGAGATCTATGATCCCGAAGCCTACGACGAGCTTCTTGAGACGCTGAAGATCGCTGCCAGAAAGAGCGCCTTGGCTCGGGAATCCAGCACAAGATCTATGGCAAACCGTCAATGGCGAAGGAAGAACTCAACGATTCCCTGAGCCTTTGAAGGGTGGTTCTGAGACTGCTGCTTCTGCTTTTCTTGTCCCTGCTTCTAAGAAGCCGAGACCCGCTTGCAGCTGCGTTCTGCACGGATACACGTGTGCCTGTCTGAAACAGCCTGGTGCCTCTTGATTAAGAGCCTGTACAGTCCAAAAGGTTAAGACCGCATTGCCTTGTAGTCCTGCGACCTAAAGAGCAGCCATGCCCTGCGTTCTGTCGCGTGTTTTGTTTTCTTCTATGCGTTGTATCCCGCTGCAGCTGAGGCCGGCTTCGAATGCACCTATCTCAGAGAATGTGTGTCTGGGAGGGTTCGATTCGATCGTGTGAACTCCTGACAGCTGCAGGCTTCGATCATAACTCCTTGGAGCAACTTCTGATCAACCTATGTAATGCCCCTCAGACAAAGTCGGCACATTGAATCTTGGACAGGCATGATGAGAGTTGTTCTCGCCAGGAACATCTCCAGCAGTTCTTCAACACCTTCGTGGCTCGTCAAAGTCAACAGAAATACTCGAAAAAGACGCATCTGATCTTGCGCATCAGATCGGTTCAAACTCCAAGTCTGCAAGGTTTTCCGGTCGGAGCTGGACGATTATGAGAAGGAAGGCATGCTTGATGTTTCTGCACATGGTGCCATTAATGTGTGAGCACTGCTTTTGAAGTATAAAATTCGAAGGCTTGAAGTTTCAGTGCGACGTGAGCTTCACTGACAATGCTGACGTGCCCCGTAAGATTAGCGACATTTGGCTTCTGGATGCAGCATGTCATGTCTCCCGAAAGGCACGTTGCGTCTAGCTGAACCATACTCATCGTGAGTCAGGTGCTTCAGCTTGTTGATGGTCGCGGGGGTTTGCTGGATATGTTAGATGAGGAGGCGCGGAATCGCAGAGCTGCGCCGCGGCGTGAGTTTGCCAAGTGCGTCTCATTGCGACAGGTCGTGATGCCGAAAGCCACTGATGAATCCTATGTGTCCAAAGTGAAAGCAGGCAGGCGGTCCTTTGGAATTAGTGCTAGTGCTTGCCCAGGGGCAGTGTTTGCAGGTCACTCAAAGCATCAGTGTTTCGTGCTCCCGAAGATCAACAATCGAGTCAAGTTCGGAGTGTGCAGCCCGTTTTGTTCCCGTTGCAAGGGCATGGTGCGGGGTTCTTGGGGCTCCATTCTTGCCACGGGCCATTGAGGTGAAACACTTCGCAGGCGAAGTATCTGGCTCAGCGCAGCTCACTCATCGCTTATTTTCGATTCTCAAAACGACAAGTTTCAGGTGACATACAACTGCGAGGGCTTTCTGCAAAAGAATGCGGACAAGCCGCCGGACGACTTCATGAAGCTGCTGTCAGTCTCAGAGCGCCTCGCAATGAAATAGACATCGGAGTCAGCAGTTGGCAGATGTGAATTCGACTTGGCGCAGGCTTGACCTCCTGAAGCAACTGTCGATGGATCCTGGGCACGAGGTCCAAGCATCAGCAGACACTTAGACAATCCTCCACAAAAAAACCCACTACTTCCCTACTCCGCAGCTCCGATACATGGGAACCAGGCTGCCACGCCTACGCCTGCGAAAGCCTCCAGCCGGAAGCCGAAATCAACGTCATCCAAGCGGCTGAACTCAGATGCCAGCCGACAAACGAAGTCCAGCGCGTCCCAGCAATCGGAGCGGCATGCCCAGGTTTCGTTCCTCCCTGCGGACCTTGGTTGGAAAGATCAGCTCTTCGGATCCACATTTCATCAGATGCATCAAGCCCAACTCTCAGAAGGCTCGCCAGTCTTGCAATTTCATTCGTCTCCTTGCTTGCCACGAGATCTCGGGTCCATGTGCACAGGTTCCTGGCCAGTTTGATTCACGGATGGTGGGTCTGGCCTACGTTCATCGTCTCAATCAGAGGAGTGCATTCGACGAACATGATGAGCCAGGTGCTGGAACAGCTGCTGTTCAGCGGCGTCTTGGAAGCAGCAGGGACCCTAACAAGGTGACGAGAGTAGAGTGTACAGAAGTCGTGGAGGAACGTGCGCAGGTTCACATCCGTCAGCAGGGCTATGCGTCGAGGCTGTCGTATGTCGACTTCCTGAGCAGGCCAGCAGCCAGTGCAGTCCACCTTTGCACTGTCTGGAGCCTCTCAGCCAAGAGGTATGCCAGCCTGGCCGCGTCCAGTGCCCATCAGAGGAATGCCAGCGCAGCTGGGACAGATACGATATCGGAACGAGCCGTGGTGCGTCGGGCGCGTCGCGTAAAAGCTTTCAACATGTTTGCCTGGTTTTGAAGGGTTCTCCTTATTCAGTATGCATCAGGAACGCATCCAACCATCGTTGCCACAGTTTGAGCACACCGAGGGCTGCATGATGTGCACATCAAGCGGATGTTATATGTCATGTACCTTTTGTCAGAGCCCTGGTCCCAATTGAGGAACTGGCCAGTCACTTGAACGAGAAGTTGTCTCTGGACATTGACGTCGGCAAGACCAAGGTGTTCATGAAGGCATTCGTGGGCAAGACTTCAATCCGGAAACACTCAAAACCGGCATCTCCTGAAAAGTACCCGGAGGATCCGGGGTATGCTGCACAACAGCTTGACGGTCCTGCCTGTTGATGGGGCTCCTTCTATTCACAGACACGTCGAAGATGGAAGAAGCACACCGCAGCCGTGTGGTAGTTGCAGGATACACTCATCTCCCAACATTTCCCAAAATCTCCCAACCGTGTATTTGCACGCGCGCGCGCACGCGGGGCCTCACACTCATGGGCGGCCGTGCACTCTTAAAGTTGTCAGTTGCGGAAACTTTCAGATTGGTTTGCTGGCGTTGTTGTGCCTGCTCGCGCGGAGGCATTTGCAGCCAGCACCCTGGAGAAGCAGCGGGGACTGAAGCAACCGGCTGAGCCGTGCAAGAATGTAGTCTACATACTTTGGCAGTGTGTCAATTCAAGCAGTCGGCTGTTGCGTTGCCTCCATCCAACGTTCCAAATCTCCTCTCCTTATCTCTTTCCATCCCTTGCTCACTCTTGCTGACTCTCTCTCCCTCTCTCTCTCTCTCTCCATAATGTATATGACATATTATAGTATTGCAGTATTTGCATTTCTTTTTTATGCATATGTATCTAGATGTTAAAAGATTTTTCACATATGTATATATATACACACATATATATATATGGTTACAAGCCGGAAGTCTA